ACAATGTGAGCTCGCCAAACTCTTATTATTTTAGGGTGCTTTGTTGCAATTGTTTTGAGTTCTTGCCTATTCTAGGGGTGTTCTGACTTGAGATTTAAACATGGAGATTGACTTGGGCAGTCTTTGTTCTGCTTTTTATCTCCTGATGAACACCTTTGTTCCATTGTCTCTATGGAAGCATGTACAATACATATGGACAAACTTTCTCTTGCATAAGCAGACAAAAAGGCCATGGCTTCACCTCCATTGCTTCCATCATGCTTCACAGGTGAGGTGATGCTCTGTGGAGCATCTGTGGCTCCCTTCTTTCTCCACACTTCCAACTTTGTCCTCAGTTTGGTAAAGGTTTCTTTCTTTCTCATGAGCCTATAAAACTTAGTTCTAAAACTGTCCTTGTCCATCTTTGTGCTTCCGAACCGCTTAAACTCTCTTTTCTGTTCTTGGTGTTCTGGCCTTCAGCAATCTGTGGATTTTGAACCTTCACCCCTGCACTCTGGAGTTTGTTGGCAGTTTCTCTGACACCTGTTTTAGGCTTGTCCTCAACAACTCGGGTAGTTTTTCTGTCTTCACCTGCAGATAATTTTGTTGCCAACACAACCTTGCCTGATTGGCAATTATTCCTGAGTTGGTTTCTTCTTCAGTATGTTTCAAATTGTTGATTTTGGTATTTTCAGTTTCTTTGCTACGTTTCTGTTTTTTTTCCTTTCAGCTTCAAAGTCCCCTGATTTTATTTAACAGAAAGTTATTTGTTTTTTTTTTATTTCCACACAATAAGATGTGTTTAATTTACCCATGAGGGTAGAAATGATTAAAGTCTATTTAAAAACATAGGAGTTGTACTTCTCATCTTCAGGGTATGGGTTCTGTCTGTTACTGCAACCTCTGTTGGGAAAACAAAAGTAAATATTGAATTGTCTATTCTTAATGACAAAAAACAATGAAACTGGGATAAAATCTCAGCATAGTCTTTTAAATTTTGAGACTCATCCAAGTGCAATTGATGAGCATCCATTTTAGTTCAGGGGTTCATTGTTTTTATGAAATGTTTAGATCCTCTTTTGGTTTAGCTTTAGAGCAAAGCTGTCATTTGAGACCTGTTAAAATTTTGGCTGTCGAGCTTTTACTCAGTGGCAGTTCTGACCAAGTAGGTTCATATTCTGAATGTATTTTCGGGGCATTTTTTAATTTTGCACTGCGTTCATCTCTCTTCGTTCTCCATCTGAAGGATTTCTGAGCGATTTATTTTTACAATTTAAAGAGCAGTACTGAGCTGCAGATGATGGGGTAAGACGACAGATGAGACTCTCTCAACTCGGCGTCTGCTGTGTCTCAGTTTGGTCATCTGTCTGGTGAGGGGTGAGGGGATGGCCTCCACTCCACCAGCGCCGTGCACAGACACTCCTCTGGGCATACATGGTTCTGATTTCTGTGCATGTCTCCAGGTGGGTACTCTTAGACGCTGCTGACGTTCCCTTCATGAGGGGAAAAAGAGTGCTAAGATAAGCCTGATGAGAGTGTAGGGAGATGAACTTGGCCAGAGCAATTGTTTTTATCTTCGTGCGAGCGTGGCTAGTGGAGCTCTCTCCGTGCCCCTGCTGGGATTCAATCCCAGTCGGTCACATGCTCCTCCAGCGCCCCTCCCTGGCGGAGATGGCCGATGACTCTGTCAGGCCAAAATCCTGGGTCCTCCGTCACGGGAACATCCTGCACAACACCTAGGACTAGTGCAGATCTACTCTGCTCCTTCGAGGGATCAATTGCAGTCGCGAGCGGGCCTAGAGCCACACAGCACCACTCTCCAACCAGTAGAGAATTCTGGGACCTTCAGTGGCAGAGTTGTACACTGTTTCAGAGCTGGGGTGATGTCACTTTTCTAATTTGCTCAGTGCAACCTGATCCCTGTGCCCTGTTTCAAGTCTTTGTGTTTTGGTGCTGGAGGCCTGATTTTACCAAGTCCTGGGAAAAACAGAGCGATGGATGGACACTAACGAATCCATCATTATCCCCGTTATAGTGAATGCGCAGTGAGCAATAATCATCTGTGGACACTAACAGCAGTGGTTTAGCTTAATTTCATCAATGTGATCATGGCTATGTTATTTCAGACTTTTGTTATCAGACAGACAGTGAAGTCTTGCAAATAAAATGCACTGTGTCTTCCTTGTCATAAGATTTCCTTTTAACAAGATGTCATCTCAGTGCATTTCCATGCGCAGTGCAGGGGTGACTCATGGGCTGAACACACACAAGGCAGGAGAGACACTTGACACCATATGTTGGCTACGACTGTGTACCAGCCAGTGTGTGGGTGCACAGTGAGAGAGCTGTTTGCGGAGGTTCCTGAATGAAAAGTGGCAAGACACCTCTCCGCTTGGCTGAACATGGAATGTCATTAGCCATGCAGATTGCAATGGTCTTTTGCTTTCATTAACCACACTGTAAGTAAGTAATGTTCAAAGACTGGGACTGTTCAAAGATAAATTAAGCCTTGCTGCATTAAAACACTGTGATTTTTTTATTAAGTCTTTGCCTGACAAATGCTCCTAAATCCTGTGGCTCCGGGGTGTTAAGTTGCTTTAGAATTTTCAGAAGGGTCCTAGTGCTTCTGCTGTAGATGTGTATAGGGTAATGAAGCACTTTCAGACGTGGTGAATGGCCTTTCATAGTACTGTCCTAAAAAATTACGCAAAAACACGGTTCAGGCTGAATGGCAGTGCAGAACTGTCACAGCTCGGCTTCTCACGGTCTCCCATTTGCCACAGGCTGAGCACACGTCCGGAAAGGGAGCAGATCGCTTCCTGCTAGGGCTGTCAAGTAAGAGGCGAGATGTGGCACATGCTTAGCAATTTAATACCCCAAACTGGAAAGCAGTGATTGTGTTTTAGGTGTTCTGTAAATGACGATATGAATCCGAAACAGCCAGTCGTCTATAATGTTCTTTCTCCCTCTTTCTTTTTGTCCTTATATAACATCACACAGGTTGTTGTGGGTGTTCATAAAAAAAAGGGATTTCACAATATTTCACCATTGGGTGATTAAAACGGGATACATTCATGAGCCTTCCTTTAGAAAATATGAGACGGTTGCAGAACTAACAGTCATAACATTAAGCATAGCCAGCAGCCATATCACTCTGCAACTCACAACTGGCAACCCACTGAAGCTACGCAGGTGTGAGGCTGGTCAGTACCTGCTGCTGGAAGAGGTGTTAGTGGGGCCAGCAGGGGGCGCTCACCCTGCGGTCCGTGTGGGTCCTAAACCCAGTATAGTAACGGGGACACTATACTGTAAACAGGTGCCATCCATCAGATGAGGTGTAAAACCGAGGTCCTGATTCTCTGTGGTAATTAAAAATTCCAGGGCCTTTCTCAAAAAGAGTAGGGGTGTAACCCCAGCATCCTGGCCAAATTTCCCATTAGCCCTTACCAATCATGGCCTCCTAATAATCCCCCTCTATGAATTGGCTTCATTACTCTGCTCTCCTCCCCACTGATAGCTGATGTGTGGGTGAGCGTTCTGGCGCACTATGGTGTATGCAATTATCATTATTATAAAAAGTAACTGGACACAGGAATGTGCAGGATTGATAATAGCCTCATCACTGCAGGGAAGACATGCCTTTGCAACTCTTAAGTCATCCTATACCTGATCCTGATTGGCTCTTGATTTATCTAGAAGAGTGGAGTGGGGATGCAGAATACCCTTTTCTCTTCTCTTTCTGCCCTGATCATTCTCAACAAGCTCATCACCTGTTGCCGAAGGTATTGCCTCCTTTGTGCTGCAGTTACAGTGAGCTTGGTTAGAGGGCGCTGTTTCCCCCCCACACACTGCCTGTTTTCAGGTTTGATGAGCGGCACAGGCTAAGACATGCTTTCCATTGTTCTTAATAAATTAATACAGTTTTAAGAGTTGCAATTTCTGGCAGTTTTAGTACAACTCATTTTAGTATAGATCAAGTGGGTAGGTGCGTCAGCATGCGGAGGCTGCAAAGAGCAAGTAATAGATTTATTCTATGCTGAAAAGAGAAGATAGAAAACGTTTCGGCTGTGTAGGCTTCATAGCCGAAACATTGTGTTTTCTTTCTTCTCTTTTCATCATGCAATAAACCTATTACTGCTTCATTTTAATATAGTATTTGAGAAACCTCGTGTGTACAAATTCAACTCTGATTCTGGATGCTACTTTAAGAAGTCACAAAACTGATTCGTCATTGAGGGCTTGTCATTGAGATGCCTCCACAAAATCATTATTTGTTCCTTGCAAATAAATTGTACACACCTCTTCTGACCTATTTGCAACAGGTGTGCAACTCTTATAACAGGAGAACAAGTTACAATCTTTTAGTACATAAATGATTGTGAACCTGCAATTTGTACAAATGATTGTGTCCCTTTGCTCTCTTGAAAGGAGACATTCTAACCCTGCTGCAGTTACCATGAAGGTAGACCATGAACTTTCCACAAACATCTCAGTCTGTCTGAGGTCTGTAGAGCTCTTGTTTTGATCCTTATAATTTAGCTAGCATAACAGGGGTGCGTGTGCTGTGTGTAATGATAGCTTTCCCTAAAGGAGAAGGCTATGAGTTAGCCTCACAGGAGGAGAAGGCAGTCACACAATAATGTGGCGTTGCTTGCCACCTCTGGTGGTTGACATTTGAGTTATCGAATCCGCTATAATAGTAAGAGGACGCTGAAGAGCACTTCACTATTGTCTGCCTGCTTTGCAGACACTTGGGGAAAATGAAAAAAAACTGTTCTTTCATCTCCAAAGTGGTTCCTCTGAGCAATGTGGGACCCTATTTGATGACCTGTGTACGTCCAGCAGACTGAAGAGGTGGCTGCTTCTCTCGTTTCGACTCTTTGCGTCACACAGGCCTGCGATATGCAGGCTGTTTTGACCCTGTCCTTGAAGTTGAGCTTTCTTGCTCAGCTGTAGAAGAATACCATGTTGCAGTGCCTCTCAGCTGTCTGATTGTTAATACGTTGCCTTTCTATTAACAGATGAGGGCTATTACCAGAGTGGAAAATTCCTGTTTGAAATAGATGTCCCTGAAGCGTATAACATGGTGGTAAGTAAACCTGTCATTTTATTTTAATTAAGAGGAAAAGCTTTTCTGTGGAACTGTAGTGGCGGCATAGAAGGGGCAGCAGTCCTATTCTAGTGGCAGATGACAGTGCATTCTGCCAAGCTTCCATTGCTTCCATAGCTTTTTTTTTTCAGATCATAACGTGTAGGTTCGTTATCCCATAATGCCCCTGCTTCTCAGTTTAATGATCCTCTGGGCAGTTTCGATGGATGTGGTGGGAAAATCATCAAACATCCTTAATTTTAGAGGTGGGAAACGAGATTTGGTCCAGGTGAGGGGCCACAACCACACACAGGTGCAAGGAAGCTTGGACGGACGCCTCCTACCCCGCCTTCGAGTTTGGGATTGAGCTCTTTTATACTAACACACACACCCCTTAAAGAACGCCGCTGTTTTTCCTTTACGGACGTACCGGAATTGTTGCACTTAGAACATGTTTTAAAAGGATTCATGGTTTAAGGCGAGAAGGACTTTTCTATGTTCCTCTCGGTTAATTTGAGCACATGTATCTCTTGAGGTGTCGCCACACTGTAAGGTTTAGTGTTCTTGTGATAGTAACAGATGTGTTGCTGCTCTGGCTTTAAAACCATTTCCCCCTCCCCGATATTTAACTGATTCCTCTCATGGTGGGCGTTTGTGCAGAAAACGGTCATGTCCGTTTAGTTCCCCAGTTAGTGGTGGGGGCAGCCCTGCCTGTTTATCGGGTCGGGCTGTACAGTCATTTAATCCGCTGTGTTAGAAAGAGGCTCGTGGTGGCCGAGTGAGCCCCTTTCGAACCGGATCCCTCAAGTGTTTGCTAATGCCGGCAGAAAGCTCTGAAGGCATTCCCAGGAATGTCACCACAAATAGCCTGGTGGTGGTGGGGAATGTTGTTGATGGTGTCTAGGGCAGCCGATATGAAGCAATATGAAGTGCGTCGCTTTCCTTGAAATCGGTGGTTGGCACTGCAGGGCTGACCCCTCCTCTCCGTGACTCTGTCATGGGCTTTCAGGAGGTTCAACGTCATTGGCCGCTACAGGGAGGTCCACTCTTCCCTGTGCAGGCATTACCCTTCCAGTTTCACGGTTTTCTATGAGTTAAAAAAAAAATACTATTTTATTTTTTGTAAGTCACTCCAGATAAGAGTGTCTCTCATGCAAATTGATATAAAATAACAAAAGGATCATTTGTTTTCACTAACACAGTGTACAGTAAGTGCATAACCACGGCGTGGCAGGATCTTGATTGCAGGGCAGCAGTGTGGAGCAGTGGTCAGGGCTCTGTTCCTGCAGTATAGGTGGAAAGTCATGGGTCAGATCCCCAGCTGACACTGCTGTTGTGCCCTTGAGCCAGTACTCCACTCAGATTGTTTCAGTTAATGGGAAGTATAAATCAACTGTGGTTGCAGTTTTGAGAGGAGCCTGGACAGGTTTACTCTTTTTTTTTTTTGGCTGGACTGGAATGGCATCTGTGTGTCAGGAATTCAAGCTTTGTTTGATGGTAGAAATCATGGTGGGGTCTGTCAGTGCTCATGTGCAGGTGGGACTCATGGACTCGTGTCAAATTGTCTTTTATGGCCTTTTAAGAATGCATGCCACTCTGTCGTTTGTCGATACATTGTACTTCCATTGAAAGCAGGACCTTTTCAGGATTCCACTGCTCACCGTTAGGCTAGAAAGTACTCTGGCCAGGTCTCTAATCTGTCTTATTAACTTACATATTATAGAAATAAATTGCATCTTGGCGAAACATTTTGCAGTTTATTTCTGTTCTGTAAGTGTTCATTTTCCTAGTGGCTTATTATGAGCAAAGGCACAGACTGGCCTTGGTTATAAAGGCAAAAAGACTACGTTCCCAGTGGCGGGTCGGGGCGAGTCGTGGAGCGGGCTGTCAAGAAGGCTAGGTGCTGATGTAAAGACGGCCTGCCTACTCGTCTGCCTTGCATTTTAATGATAAAGGCTAGGAGCTTCCAGGCAGCTGATAAAAATAATCCACTGCTTGCTAATTGTGTTTAATTAGATTTAACTGTATTTTAAAGCGAACAATAAAAGGAGAATAATGCCATAATATTTTGAATACATTTGCATTTCAAGCTGTGGGCTCTGCCAGCAGCCAGTGTTATGAAGTGTGCTGTTTTCCTAAATAATGGCTTTAAATAAAGCACAGCGTGGAAAAAAAAGCCAAGACAGCAAATCATTTTAAAGTAGTCCCTAATGTTTTACCCCTTGCATATCTTACAGCTTGGGAAAACGGCTGTTCTTTGATCTTGAAGTGAGGGAAATCTTTTTTAAATATAGAAGTAGTTTCTGCTGAAGAGACAGGAAAAAAAGCCAATGTGACATTTATGAACAATAAACAGAACAAATTCAACAGAAAAGGCCTTTTAAGTTTCTGAACATGAAAATTTTCATTAAAAACCTTTCAATACCGATATCTTGTGAATTGCAGCCGTCAGCACAGGTTTGTGTTTTACTTGGATGTTTCATCCCTGCGTCTTTTTTTTTTTTTTTTTTCAGCCTCCGAAAGTGAAATGTTTGACTAGAATATGGCATCCAAACATCACAGAGACAGGTGAAATCTGTTTAAGGTAATTATATCAATTCCTCTTCTTCTGTGGCTGTCAGCATGGTGCAGGTTCAGGCTGCTGCTACATTAGCGCCGAAGGGTTCTGTGAAATTAATGAAACACTGGCGGAACGTCAAACATGGAACTAAACCACATCTATTCAGCAGAGCTGTCTCAGTTTTGTTACAGTGAAAGGCCAGCAGTGTTTCATTCATTTAATTATTCCAGAGTAGGACTTGACTGCATGAAATAGTCCAATAGGTCAGCCCCACCCCTCCCATGGGGGAATCGGGTAGGACATTTGTAACAGCTTCTCTTTTGCTGCACATGAGATCATGAAGACAGTGTATCTCCGGTGCTGGAATAACTTGACCACAGCTTGGTGCCCCATGAGAATGGGTGTGGGACTGATAAGTCAGCTCAGGAGCACGAGGGAGAGTATGTGAAGCAAGAGCACAGTGTCGGGAGATCTCCTGCTTTCATCTTCCACACAGATGTTTTCCTTTTCTTGCCATGACGTTCGCTGGACGTGACATTGGCTGTCCGGAGAGGTTAGAGTCAGGCAGTCCGAGACGGCACCAACCTCTCGTTCAGTCTGGGTGCTGAGCGCCTACAGTGCAGTGTGACCTCCTTCTCTTCTCTTGCTGCAGTTTACTGAGAGAGCATTCGATTGACGGCACAGGCTGGGCCCCGACCAGGACACTAAAGGTGAGCCAGTCAGTTGTAAAGTCAGGGTGTCGCATCAGACATTCTCTCTGCCCCTTCTGGTATAGGGGCTAACATTTGAAATCTGAGTCTGCTCTGTTCGCTTTTTGAAAAAGGTTAAAAACAGGTTTTCCTGATGCTTGATGCATGACTTGAAATCTTTCACCCCCCCTGCCCTTTCATTCTCGCTCAGTGTAAAATAGGTCTGTTATCCCCTATTATCTCTGTTGTGCTGAAGTCCCTGTTGGTGGTGTGTGTTTTTTCTGTATTGCTGTGTTGGACTCTTCCATAAAACAAACTTCCCTTAGGGGATGATGAAGCTTGAGTTGAAAAGATGATAAAACACAGGCTGCTTGTGTGTAAGAAGGGTAGCTTGTTCCAGATCCCCACAAAGCATGGCATAAACAAAGTGTCCTAGTGTTCCCTGGTTTGAGTTTCACTGTTACTTCAGAAGAATTGTATTAGGTTGACTCAGTCAGTGCCTAGTGTCCATGGCTGTAGTGCACCAGCAGCCGTTCGATGCAGCACATCAGATGGAGGAGTGAGGGATTGTTTCACTCGCTGAATAAGGGGGGAGCTTAAGAAGGCTCTACTCTGCAAGCCTGGAGTGAAATTTTACCAAGGACACCAGGGATTGTGGTCTTGCAAATAGAGAAAAAGAGATCTTTCAACGACCAAGTCATCAGAAGTTCCATTTAATATCTCATCTGAAGGTTAACAGCTCCTACAGCACTGCGTGTCTGGTCATCATATAGGTCAGTGGTTTGGGAATTCTGGTCTCTAGGTCCACTGGTACACCAACACTACTTTCAATGACCTGAGAATGTAACCGAGATCTCCTATCACTGTACTAGCCAGGGACACCTTGCTTATTCTGATGTTTGATTTGACCAGATCGGGCCACAGGGTGAAAACACCACTACCTTAAACAAAAAAACAACATTTGGGGTCTGGGGGGTTTGTAAAAAGTTGGATGGGAGTAAATGACAGGTATATACTCACCTGCCTGGTCCCAGAATCCCGCATTAGGGTCGTGAAGAACACATGGCATGACACTGGCAGACAGGACCCATGGGAGAAGGAGAAAGGACACTCTTGGCACACGTCCACTAAAATGACACAACTGCACTCCCATGAACTGCACAAGCACAAAACTGCTGTATGCAACACACTGCCGTAAACAGTGCATTAGTGTCATCATGTGTGATTGAGCAGGTTTTAACGGGAAGCTGGAATGCGAATCCGTACCATCAGGCTTGGTGACCGCACTGCAGTGCGCTTTTAGGAGTGCCCTGTGATTCTAATCTTCGGATTTGGTGGAGGACGTGAGGGTGTAAAGTTTGCGTTTACTCAGTATTAGTTTGCCCTCCTCCACACAGTGCCTGTTTTCACCTCTCCGTTGTGTCTCGTTGTTTTTCATGCAACTATTCATCTTATTTTGTTCTGTTTTTAGGTGTATTCCATCCTCTGTTTATTACAGCCACACAGTGTTTTTTTTTCCTAACGCTCCGGAGTTCAGCCCCTTGTTTTTCTGTGCACTGCCACCATGCTTGTGAATATTTTACCACTCACATGGCTTAACAAATCTTTAAAATCACGCAACTTTAACTGCATTTACGAACCGGATTAAATGGATAGTGATTAAAAAAAAGTACCGCGGTCCTCAGGTAACTATTGCTTCCGCCTGGTTTCACTCCTCTCCAGTACGCCTGAGCTCACAAGTCCATGCGGGATGGGTATATTCCTCTTTAACACGTTGTGACTGCCAGCTCAGCATCTCTGCTGCCTGCCTGAAGTAACTGCGGGTTAACAGAGCTCCAGGCCACTACCTCTGCTTTTTAGCCCACTTCTGTACTCGGGCTGTATCCAAATTATGATGTACGATTATTAAATTAATTATGGTGCTTGTGCTCACTTGCAGACTGCAGCTTTTTTTGATTTTATGGGGTCAGATGAAGTTCACATTTAATGTTTCCATTCTAAGTAGGTATATGATTATGAAATGCAGATGTAACCCAGTTTTTTTTCCTCTTTCTGACAGTTGTTAGGTGAACATATAAAAAAAAAAAAGACAGGCAAAGAGGCAGACTACATCACCCGGTTTTTACAACTGTCAGTTGCTGGAAAAGAATCCAAGGCAGTTTCCATTTGTACCTATTGATATAGCCGAGGGCGTTTTGCTGGAACACTGTGAAGTGCCTTGCTCAGGGTTACAACAGCCTCGGATTCGAACCCCCAGCCATCCAGTTATGAGTCTGGACCTCTTCCCACTGCTAAGCCGAGGTGGTCTCTGGCAGGGCAGAGCTCTGCACTGAGTGGGTAAAAAAGCTCCTTTTAAAGTCCCTTGTTTATTACCTGGGCTTGCCCAGTGTGTTTAAAATGCCCATAAAAGTGAAAGCTGTCAACCAAAGTGTGATATATAGTGAGTGTGACACTCGCCCCCTCGCTTGATAAACTGTACAGGAGAGGTATTGTTTTCTGTTAAAGAATGCATTGATTCAATAAAACAGCACACACAGCAGAGGATTCAAATATAATCCATCTTGTTGTGCGCGATGCTCTGATTGATGTTTTCATGCCTGACCTTGGAAAACATTCTTGCCACATATGTATAGAATAAAAATATAAATTGACATTTAAGTCTGATGCATAAAAGTGCAGAGCTGTGAAAGAGGAACAGTTGTTGACATTCAGACCATGATGTATAATGATTGGAGGAGTTTAGCATTAACATTTTGTTAATTAGTTCTTACTGTTGTCAATACAGGAAACGGAGATTGATGGGGAAAAGGACTAATAAAACTGCATGCTTAATAGCCTGAATTCCCATCAGGAGGCCATTACTGCCTGTTGCAATCACCAACATTGCAGAGCCACAGTGAATCTGTAATCAGCTCCGACTTTAATTAAAGTGACCCAACTTGTGTCAAGTTAGTGACTGTGTCAGTTAGCAAAAAACACGTTGCAAGAAAAATCTATAAGTGCTCTCTCAAAGCTCTTTATCGGAGAGGGTGAAATTAACCTCCATTTTCCTCCATGTAACTGTTCAAGTTTTAAACTAGGCAATTTCATGGTGTTCTCATGAATGCGTTGTGCTTCATGAATGCCCACTGTGTGTTCAAAAGTGTCTTGGAGGCAGAAAAATGTAAGCTAGTTCAGCAGTGGAACAAAATTCCATGACGTCTAGAATCCATATTACTCAACTGTTCTTCTGTATTACAAACATAGTTTGAAAATGTTCATTTCTTCAGATGTCTAGTCTCCTAGCCTTTTGTAGGTTGCCGCTGGGCTGTAAACTATGTGTCCTTTCTAGGCCGAGTAATGTTATTTGTAAGACTAGGGTTATTGCTTACCCTTGCTAATATTAGACGCCATTTCTTCCTTGCTCTTTGATGTTTTGCCTTGCAGCTAATATTCAGAGACTGAGTCGAGGTGAGGCTTTTTGGAGGTCATCTTTCTGCCTGCTGGTTCCTTTCACTGCATAGAGCAGTAGGTGCGAGGGAACTGTTAGTAGAGCTCATTCCTGTACTTCATCACCTGCTCCTGGCAGCACAGGCAACCAACACGATACAGACTCGTGTTGGAGGGAAATATGACTAAAACGCAACAAGATAAAGCCCTTGATGTAAAGTAAGTCCAGGAAAAACACAAAAAACCAATGGCTCTCTTTGGAATTATATTGTAACCTGATGAATCAAATTGAAATTGCCTTTTGCAGTATTATCTTTGGAAGCTCAAGTCTTTTATCACCTTTCTGTCTAAGGCTTTTAATTCCGCTGTTTTTAATGTGGGCCACAGAACAGAAGGGCTACTGTGAGTCAAGCCAGTGAACTAAATATAGAAGCACGTCGCAGAGTGAACCATGGGTGGTTAAAAGACACAATTTGACGAGATTGTTATTTCGGGCACGGTAACTGTGGTAATTGCACTTATACTCAGTTTCAAAAGAAACCTCTTCCTTATAATGGCAGTAGGTTCACAAAGTTGTCAGTAAAAAGACAATTTTTATCATAGGTGCACTAACAGTTTACATTGACATAGGCCAATTCATTGAATAATAATAATAATAATAACATCACTTTATTAACCCTTTACAATTTCTTGCATTAGGAATTGTCTTTTTGCATATCCCAGCTTGCTCTCCATGAGAGGCACAGCTCAGAGCCTGGGGTCAGAGCGCAGGGTCTTCCTTTGTAAGGCGCCCCTGGAGCAGATCAACGTTTATCGTCATCAGTGCGTGTAGTGTGAAAGTCACTGTTAGAAACTGTACACGCTGCACATTTGTGACACATGCTTTGCAGTCAGCTTGAACCTGGATAAGCATGTGTCCGTTCCCAGGTCTCAGAGTCCTGGATAGCCCACATCACCCAGGCTTGTCCTGATATGCCAAGTAGCAGGACAGCGCATGTCCTCATGGGATATGTGTGCAGTGTCCTTCTTGCAACATGGGAATGTGACCAATATGCTGTGGACACCCTGCTTGCCACACGTGAATCTAACTCCCTGTCTCTGACTTGTGAATGTTTTTTTTTTAACTATAAGCCTGACCCTTATGGATGCTAAAACCCTTGCTTCATCAAGGTTATGTTCCTGTGCCTGAAGGCTCTTCTTGATGTATAATGCTTCACCCCCTCCTTCTGTCTTTTCTGTTTCTCCGGAACAAAGAGCACCCAATTAACACAGTATCCGTCACCATTACTCTTGGTATTACAGCCAGACAGTCTTCCAAAAATAGTCTGAAGGTCTGCTCTCTATATTTAGATAGGAACCCAGTACCTTCGGGGCATGGGTCATTATACAATGTTTTTGCACAGCAGTTGAAGTTCTAAACCTGATAATAAGATCAGTTCTGCTCTTTTGCTGCAGCAGAAGTCTCCTGCTGGTAGTCTGTGGTAGTCAGAGCCTGAGGGTCAGGCATCAAATCGCACCACAGGCATCAGAAATATCAGGTACAGTTTCTTGGACATGTGCACAACATTACTGAGCAATCGAGACTCTGCTCC